AAACGTCCTCCTCCAGCTTGCAGATGCTTGGAATCTTGCTTCTTTGATGTTTGAACTCATCTTGTTGCATTCCTTTGGCTCCAAAAAGCCATAATGGATCTTAAAATCCCTTGAAATCAGAAATATTACAAGATGTTAGCAAGATATTCAATTATTGTGACTTTACAGTATAAAACCCTAATTTCCATGCAATTCATGATATATTTCAAGTATAATTAATCCTAGAACCATGTAAACCAAGGGTTTATCAGTCAGTAAGTGGGGTAAAGAACACACCTGCCTAAACCAAGGTCTTACCCAGGATCATAGACAGCTGGATTCTAATGTTATTTGTACAGCCATTATGAGTATGTATTATGCGATGTTTGGTTACATATGTTATGTTTATGTTATTTAATGAAATGTTTTTATTGACAATGTTGATTTCGAGTTTTTTTTTATATAGGTATGTTAAAAGAAGATCCATCTTTAAAGCCAGTTCTTATTCAAGAGAGGGTACAACATTTGTATGGATACAACATAACTTACAAGAAGGCTTGGAAGGCTAAAATGAAGGCCATTGTGAAGTTATTTGGTGACTGGGATAAATCATATGCATTCTTGCCTGGTTGGCTGACATACATGACGCAGGTTAATGTGGGTTCTGTGTTCAAGATTGATACGGACCAATGTTTTGACGAACGTCGAGTTTACACCGATAAGGCTGTCTTTCACAGGGTATTTTGGACATTTCACCAGTGCATTGAGGCCTTCAAATATTGTAAACCCATAATCCAAATTGATGGCACGCATTTGTACGGGAAATATAAAGGAACCCTTTTGATTTCTACGTCACAAGATGGAGATGGATACATTCTGCCTATTGCCTTTGTTATTGTTCCTCCGGGGTGAGAGATTAGAAGATTGGTCGTGGTTTCTTAGCCTCATGTGTTTTCATGTAACACATAGGCATGACATTTGTCTAATATCCGATTGTCACCCCAGCATCATAAGGGCTGTAAGAGATCATGCCGGTTGGCAGCCTCCATTTGTGTATCATATGTTTTGTCTACGTCACATCGGAAGCAACTTTAACACTAAGTTTAGGGATGTGGAATTGAAGAAAACCCTAATGAAACTAGGTACACAATTTGTTTAATATGTACATGTTGTATTTAATGCAAATTTGCATCTAACGCATGCAATTTTCATGATTTTTAGGGTACCCGAGTTCAAAGATTCATTTTGATATCAGATTTCAGAATTTATCGACAGTAACCCACAAGTAGCTTCATGGATAGATCAGATTCCCAAAGAGAAATGGTGCAGGTCTTATGATGAGGAGGGCCGTAGGTTTGGTCACATGATGACTAACCTATCTGAGTGTGTCAATAAGGTCCTAAGGGGTGCACGTAATTTGCCTATAACGACATTGGTCAAGATGACTCAAAGTAGACTTGTTGAGTATTTCGTGAAGAGAGGTGAAAAGATCCAAAAAAATATTTGCAAAAGCTTGGAGAATTGCAAAAAAGGTTGAGGTTTACATACAAAAAATGACCAGTTAACAGTGAGTCTCCGTGTGCGGGTTTTTGATAGGGACTTGCAGTTGTTTGAAGTGGAGGATGCCTATAATCAATCTACACATGATGTCGGTGCCATAATGAGGGTGGACTTGCTCAATCGGTAATGTCAATGTGGACGGTTCACAGCTAGAAGGTTTCCTTGTAGCCACGTCTTAGCGATGTGCAAGGTAAAGAAGTTGAACCACTATAATTATGTTGACCCTGTGTTCTCAATTTCACAAATTGACAAGGCCTATGCTGCACATTGGTATCCAATGGGCAATGAGTTGTTGATTCCACAAATTGATGGCCCAACCATTATCCCAAATGCTTCTTTGGTGCATGCACAAGGAAGACCAAAGTCTTCAAGGATACAAAATAAGATGGATTGGGTTGAGTCTCAACCCACAAGCAGTCAGAGTAGATGTAGCTTGTGCAAACAAATTGGTCACAATAAACGTACTTGTCCTATGAGGATTAGACAGACTTGAATTGTCTTTTGCATTAACTTATGTAATGAATTGTTAACGCATTCTGATTTGTATTATGATTTGTTAATGTAATGAATTCGACTTTTGTGCTAAATTGTTCAACACGGGCCAAATAATAATGCAACAGGTCACAATCGTCCATAACAACTCAGGACAATCACTAATAGGTGTTTAAAATGGTTAAATCATGTTTTGGTACGCCTAAACCAACGTTTTGATACAATACGACGTCGTTTTAGGAATTGAACGTGCACATTGCTTTTTTGTGTCCCAAATTATGTTCCCCAAGTCACACTAACTTAGTTCATGAGTTTAGAGTCTCAATAAAGAGAAAAAAATCCATCGAAAACAGAAGTGGGTGCCAAAACCAAAGTTTTAATCGATTAACCTGTACTGGTTTAATCGATTAAAAATTTTAATCGATTAAACCAGTACAGGTTAATCGATTAAAACTTTGGTTTTGGCACGCACTTCTGTTTTCCACGGATTTTTTTGAGGTGGTTGAAACTCTAAACTCATGAACTAAGGTAGTGTGACTTGGGGAACATAATTTGTGACACAGAAAAGCAATGTGCACGTTCATTTCCTAAAACGACGTCGTATTGTATCAAAACATTGGTTTAGGCATACCAAAACATGATTTAACCATTTTAAACACCTATTAGTGATTGTTCTGAGTTGTTATGGATGATTGTGACCTGTTGCATTATTATTTGGCCCATGTTGAACAATTTAGCACAAAAGTTCCATTTACGGCATTTGTGAAACATCTAAAGCAACATAAATCCACCCTTCCATAAACGAAACGAAACATTAAGTTCATTACATCAAATAGTTCGGGAAATAAAGGAAATACATGAAATAAACCATAAACACATGAAATAAAAACTAAACCCTAAATCTAATCCTGGTCCTCCTCGTCCTCTTCATCTGACACATGAGCCCCCTCCCCTGCTGCCTCCTCAACCTCCTTTCCTCGTGCAAGCTCCAGACGAGCAAGCATATCCTCCACACCCTTGAACCTTCCCTGTATGTGTCTAAACCTTTCATTCCCTTTCTGGATGTGACTCTTCCTCCATTTTTTTTGTTTCAGCGCCATCTTTCCTATCTTCTTCAGTGTGGCATTTATGCCCTTCATGACATCACGCAATGAAAATCCACCCTCAGGCTCAGCTATCTCCTGCAAATCAGCCTCATCATCGTCGTCATCATCATCCTCCACCTCGGGCTCAACCATGTGTGCATCTGGGGCAACATCAGGAACCTCAACCTCAACCGTACCTGAGAACTGCCACACACCCGCCCTGTTCTTGGAGATCTTGCACTGCTCCGGTAGACGCTTTTCGAATTTGGCTGTATAGCCTGTGGGCCTCTTCAGCTGCTCAGTGTCCGTGGGAACACCAAAGTGAACCAATATCCTCTGTACCAGACACGAATGGAAGTGCACCCTTATGTTTGGCCTTAAACATCATCCAACAGATGTAGTGCCTCCAGTTCACCTGTACACCATGTCAGATAGCCCACATGATAGGAATGTCATGTTCCAGCACCTTGGAATGATTGAAAGCTCGCGAAAACAGTATGTGGGTGATGACATAGTGAAATATACTAGCATCAATACTAAGCAACCCCACCGTGTAATGAATGGTCCGCCCACGTCTAATATCAGACCTCCTGGCCTCCTCCACAGCATCACCTTGGGCATATCTAGGAAGTGATACACCGCTATCTGCGTCATACTCCGCAGTGGGCTCAGCTTCAAAGTCGTAGCCTAGTATCTCCAACCATACCAGAGCCGTCATGATTATGTCCACACCGCAGACCCTCGACCTCAACTCACCTTGTATGTAGCTGAGGTTATGGTAGAAGGCCCTCACCATAACCTCTGAATACAGCCATAGCATCTCAGCCAACAACCCTCAAATGTGTTGCCTCCAACATCGCCACAATATGAAATCCCTCTTTCATAAAGAATGTTGTATCCAATGATTTTGGAGCACATAAGGGTCTGTTGACATGGTCACATACAAATGCAGCGTGAACCGAAGGGTCATCCTCAAACAGGTATTCAAATGGGAGGTCGACGTTATCAGGCTCTTCGTCTTGTGGCCTTGAGGAAGAAGGCCAGTCTTGTCGTTGCTTCGTGCGTTTCTCAGCGTCGGCATTGCTTGCTCTTCTGCGGCCGACCATTGTAACAGAATACCTACAATGACAAAATAATTTATCAACAACCAATAACAACCAATAAAACAGATAATTAAAAAAAATTCCAAAAATTCAAAAAATAAAACGGTATACATGTTATGCCCGGCTCAAATTGGTCCACAATCACAATCATCTGTTCAAAAATAAAAAATAAAACGAAGAGCCCGGTCCACAAACCCCCAAAATTCGAAAATAACAAAAATAAATGTTGCAAAATCCGAAAATCACTCACCGTGGAGGATGAAGATGTTTGAAGTAGACTTGGGGACGCAATCCACACACCTGGGGAACGACTTCTAGAGCTGGGTTCAGATTTGGGGTTTTTTGTGAACCTTAATCGATTAGGGTTTGAAATAACCCCCTCTGTCAAAGGGGTGGGGTGGGGGGGGGGGGGTTTTAAAAACAATTCTATCGACATTTAATCGATTAAATAATACATTTAATCGATTAATTAAATGTCTCAAAATTTAATTGGTTAAGAGAGATATTTAATCGATTAAATTTCGGGTCAGCGTTATTCCTGTATTTTGACTATTTAACCGATTAAATATTCAAGTTAATCGACTAAAGAGGGACAAGTTGATAAATAGTTTTAAGTGAGAGGCAAAATTATTATTAATTTTTTAACGAGGAATAAAAGGGTCAAAAAGCCATTATCATAGTAGACGTAAAAAAGTAGATCGAATATCTATATTCATGTGTTGGTATAAAAGCCCAAAACCCCCCAACTTAATTGAATTTCAAAGCACTGGGGAGAGATAGAGAAGGAATGGCAGGCTAAACGACGACGTGGAGGAAGGCGGACCTTATCGTGACATGCTTCCTTTTCCGTTCAATTACATTATTTATCATTTTGTTCTCAGTTCTTACTCCATCGGCAGTGAGCATTTAGCATTGTCACACTCAACACAGAAATGTCGAAGCTGCTTCTACCCACTCCTCACCTCACCTCCATTCCCCGCTGCAACACATTGTCCTCTGTTTCTTGCCTTCAATTTCAATGCCAATTCTCCCTTTCTTTTCTCTCTCATCCCCACTCTCTCACTCTCACACCCTTCCGCTCCCGTGTGCATAGACGAGACCTTTCCCTTCGTGCCTTCGATTCTTCTTCTTCCGATCCTAAAACCGAACAACAAGAAGAAGAAAGTTCCATTGACAATCAAAGTGTTAGGATTTCCCATGAGGATTATCCGAGTGGCGAGTTTGAATTTGAACCTATTACTGGATGGAGAAACTTCCTCGTCAAGCTTAAGATGCTGTTTGCCTTCCCTTGGGAGCGTGTCGGCAAGGGTAGCGTCCTCACAATGAAACTTCGTGGCCAGGTTTTATCGCTTTTCTCATCCTCATGTTTGAGTTGGCTTTTGTTTTTTCTGTTTTTTTTTTGAGAGTTCAAGATGTTGTGTTCTTTCTCATATTCAGATATCCGATCAAGTGAAGAGTAGGTTTTCTCCAGGACTTTCTCTACCTCAAATTTGTGAGAATTTTCTGAAAGCAGCGTATGATCCTCGTATTTCTGGGGTCTATCTCTATATTGATAGTTTAAATTGCGGGTGGGGTAAAGTCGAAGAAATTCGAAGGCACATCTTGAATTTCAAAAAATCAGGTAGAACTCTGGATTTGTGTTGCAGCTTATGTATGGAAGAAAGAGGAATGTGGAAACATGCAGTACCAAAACTTTAATTTTCGTATTATACACTATTTATAGTAACTTATGATAGGGTCAAGTGAACCGGTGTAGAATTTACCAATAAATTCAGTAAATTAACATAGCCAAGTTAGATGTAAATGTAATTACTGATAACTTCTACAGCTACACCCCCTGAAAATGCCAATTTACATGCGTTTCTTGGACACTTTGCCTTCTTGACTGCCAATGCATGAATCATGTAGTTTTAGTGTGCTTTGCAAATTACTTCTCTTATATACTCTAGAGAACATTCAAAAGAATTATTAATTTGACATGGATTTTGTTGAAATTATAGGGTTTTAGGCGTATATGTAGCAGAAAAGATGTAGAGAATAATAGAGACTGAATATTATGTGTAATGAGGTTATTGATTTGATTACAAAAGACAAAGCACCAATCCCTATTTGTACTTAATAGGGGACTACTAAAATAAGGAAAAAGATCATGAAATATAAGGAAATATGGAAATTAATCCTAAGAGATCCTCTAGGATACTCTATACAATATTAAGATAATATAATCTTAATATTGTACAGTATCATTGAGATATTCTAACATATTTTTATCTGTATTGAAATGGCCTTAAGTAGCCGACTTCTCTTGCTGAAGTCAATGTATCTTCTCTTTTTATAGGAAGACTGATGCATGTTATTTTCTGAGCTTATGATTTAACTGAGGCTTACATTTTAGAGAAAATATGGTCATTAATGAATAATGATATATCATGTCCCTCTTATTCTCTAATGATATGTTGGCCTATATTGTTGGTCTGTCCCACTCATAACATGCTTTGATAGTTGATTATGCTTGTAGGTAAATTTGTTGTGGCATATGTCCCTTCATGTCAAGAAAAAGAATATTACCTTGCGTGTGAGTGTGAAGAGATATATGCCCCTCCAAGTGCTTATTTCTCTTTGTTTGGATTGACTGTTCAAGCTTCATTCCTCAGAGGTAAGCTGATTTTTTTTCTCCATGCATTTTATAAATTTAACCAATAGTAGTTGTCCTTGAATTTTTTGTTTTCTGACAGCATCCTTTGTGTGCGTGTTTCTCTTATTCTCCAATTTGGTCCTTCAAAGATAAACAAAACATCACCTTGGTCCTACATGTATTAGAGACATCATCTTGGTCCTTCGATGACAATTAATGTCATTAGTTTTGTACTTTTGTCATATTTTCCATCAAGTTGGTCATTAAAGTGGTGTCAAATCGGTCCTTAAAAGAAGAAAATTAATGACATTAAGTATGTTGGTGATAAATGGAGAACATATCACATATCTTTGAAGGGCCAATGGATATTTACTCTTTTTTTTTTTTTATTTTTTATTTTTTGAAGAGAGACAGAAGGGGGGAGGGGGGGGGGGGGGGGGTGGGGGACAAGTATGTACCAAGAGGAACAAACCAGGGCATCCAGCTAGACTAGTTGAGGACCTTGAGTATGAGCCTAGGTTAGTTAGATCTGCTGGTTAGGAAGTTGGAAGCAGTTAGTTAGTTAGTGGCTTAATAGGTAAGCCTTGTTACGTGTATATAAGGGGATACACCCTCTGTTAGGAGACACTTTTGAAGATTTGATTGTTGACTGAGGTATCTCAGTGTGAAAGGAGAATTACCTTGTGAAGAGGTTCACCTCTTGTTTTTTTTCTGTCATCGTTCTTTTCAAAAATATTTCCCTTTTCCTTCCTTTCCCGTATCTCCGTTACAGTAATATCTTGCCTTAGGGAATCCAGAGCTGTAACAGGGGCATAGAAGGGAGGGTAAGACGTTCCAAACCTCCCATAAGTTATAAGGTGGTTTTCTATTAGCATTTCCTTTAAAAAAGAAAAAAAAAAAAAAACTTTTTCATATGTTATGTACATAGATCCATCTAAGGGAACATTTCCTTTTCTATGAAGTTTGTGCAGAATTTTGGTACAGTATGTCTTTCTACTAACGCCTGAATTAAATTCTGGTACTAATATGCCTTTCTATTGCACTAATAGAGGTTTGAAACTCGTACTATGTTAGTCTCTCAGATATTATTCTATTGCTTATTTTCTCAACTTATTCTTTGATTGTTCTGGAAAAATGTTCTGTAATATCATGCGCATCTTGCAGATGCATGTCGGGAATTTATTGATAAATCCTTTGAAATTTTTAAGTCCTATGATGACTATAAATAAGCATAAAACTTATGATTTTTGACATCATTTATTAATTCTTTTCAGGTGTTTTAGATAACATAGGAATTGAACCACAAGTGGAAAGGATTGGCAAATACAAAAGTGCAGGTGATCAACTAGCTCGAAGAACCATTTCTGAAGAAAATTATGAGATGCTGACTGCATTGCTTGATAACATTTATACAAATTGGCTGGATAAAGTCTCTTTTGCTAAAGGTAAATTTGCATTTAAAATTCTAGTTGAATCTTGAATCAATGAATTAACATCCGGGCTTCTGCAAATTCAATACAGGAAAAAAGAGAGAAGATATTGAGAACTTCATAAATGAAGGTGTTTATCAAGTAGACAAGCTGAAAGAAGAGGGCCTCATATCAAATGTAATCTATGATGACGAGGTACATAATTATTCGCTAGTGTTATATGAAAGACTATTTGTATGTGTAGTTTGTCAGCTTTATTAATATAATCATGTCGAGAGGAAAAAATGGAGTCTCATCTAGTGACCAGTGGTGGATATGTTTGAATTCCTGATAAATAGTTTTTTCCCTTCTCATTTAGAGTTTGTTGGTTTTATTGCTTCTTCATTTAACTAAATTGTGGACCCTACTGTCTTCAGTCAGTTGTATTCATATGTATTGGTAATTAATAATGATTGATAAATTGTTTTGAAGGATGTGAATAAATCTCAATCAAAGGGGGTTTAAATGATAAGAAACATCAAATGTTTTGCAGGTTATTTCCATGTTAAAGGAGAGACTTGGAGTGAAAACAGATAAAAATCTACCTATGGTGGATTACAGGTAGCAATTTCTTGTAGAGGCCTTTAAGAATGTACTACGGTTTATGCTAATTGAATCTGAAATATATTGTATATTCAAGTGTGTAAGTCTGTACAAGGAGGCTCTCTATTTATAGAGACTAAAAGACCTAATGGGATGACCTAATGGGCCAAGCCCACATCTAGACTATTCTAATAATAATAAATTAATATTATTTCTAACACTCCCCCTCAAGCTGGTGCGTATATATCAAAAGCTCCCAGCTTGTTACAAATATGATCTATTCGGGGACCTCTAAGAGCTTTAGTGAATACATCCGCAAGTTGATCATTGGAATTGACAAATGCTGTCTCGATCTCCCTTGACTGGATCTTTTCTCTAACAAAATGACAGTCAATTTCTATATGCTTGGTCCTCTCATGAAAGACTGGGTTAGAGGATATATGCAAAGCGGCTTGGTTGTCACAAATGAGCTTCATAGGCCTTTGTTCACAGAGATGGAGTTCCTTCAGCAATTGACTCAGCCAGATGAGCTCACAGGTTGCATTTGCCATTGCCCGATATTCTGCCTCCGCACTGAATCTGGCGACCACAGTTTGCTTCTTACTCGTCCAAGAGATCAAATTTCCTCCGAAGAGAACACAATACCCTGAGGTGGATCGTCTATCTGAAGGAGAACCTGCCCAGTCAACATCTGAATAACTAGAGATCTCTGAACTCCCTTTATTTGTATATAATAAACCTCTTCCTGGCGCCTTTTTAATATATCGGAGAATTCTAATAACTGCATCCCAATGGGAGTCACAAGGAGAATCAAGAAATTGACTTGCAACACTCACTGCGAAGGAGATATCTAGCCTTGTCACAGTAAGATAATTCAATTTTCCAACTAGTCGGCGGTAGCGACTAGGATCTGGCAGTGGCTCCCCCTGTCCTGGTAATAACTTAACATTGGGGTCCATAGGTGTATCAATGGGTTTACAACCTAACATGCCAGTCTCATCTAGGATATCCAGTGCATACTTCCTCTGACAGATGGAAATGCCCCGCCTAGACTGTGCAACTTCGATCCCCAAGAAATATCGAAGTCTGCCAAGATCTTTGGTCTGAAATTGATTGAATAAATGCTCTTTCAACTGATCAATCTCGGTCTGATCACTGCCTGTAATGATAATGTCATCAACATAGACCAGGAGATAAACGCACTGGCCAGAAGAGCTATGCCGGTAAAAGACAGAATGATCGGCTTTGCTTCTGATTAATCCAAAGGATTCAACAACTGAATTAAAGCGGCTAAACCAGGCCCGAGGAGATTGCTTCAGGCCATATAAAGATTTCCGAAGTTTACATATCATTCCAGAACTCTCCCCCTGAGCAACAAAACCTGGTGGTTGCTCCATATAAACTTCCTCCTGCAAGTCACCATGTAGAAAAACATTCTTAATATCAAGTTGGAGAAGGGGCCAGTGATGAATGGCGGCAAGGGCAAGAAACAGGCGAACATAAGCCATCTTAGCAACAGGAGAAAAGGTATCCCCATAATCAAAACCAAAGATCTGTGTGTATCCCTTGGCCACTAAGCGAGCTTTAAGGCGATCAACAGTGCCATCAGGACCAACTTTAATTGTGAACACCCATCGACAACCAACAACAGACTTCCCGGGAGGAGCACGAACAAGATCCCAAGTGCCATTGGAGTGAAGTGCCTGCATTTCATCAAGCATCGCCTGGCGCCACCCTGGATGAGATAGTGCTTCACCTGTGGTTTTAGGGATAGAAACAGAAGAGAGACTAGAAACAAAAGTAAAATGTTGTGAAGAAAGTCTATCATAACTCAAGAAAGAATAAAGGGGATGAGGATTTCGAGTGGATCGAATACCTTTCCGAAGGGCAATGGGAGGTGTCTCAATGGAGGATCCAGAGGAGAAGAGCCGAAGGGAAAGGGCGATGAGTCATCAAGAGGCAAAGTCGGAGGAGGTGCAGGCTGACGACGCTGGTATGTGAGGAGAGGACGATCTGCAGGTATGGAGGTAATTGGTTGCTCCTCTGGAATAGGGTCACCTGCAGCTGGTAAAGACAAGTCAAGAAAAGGAACAGGAAGGACCTGATCAACTTGGGACACTGGAGACGGAGTAGAGTGAAAAGGCTGCTGATCAAGGAAAGTGACATCAGCAGAAACGATATAACGCTTGAGATCAGGAGAATAGGAACGATACCCTTTTTGAAAACGTGTATACCCAAGGAAAATACATTTGAAGGCTTTGGATGTCAACATGTCTTTACCTGGAGTAAGATCATGAACAAAACAAGTACAGCCAAAAATATGTAAAGGCAGAGGATAAGGTGCTCCGGAAAACAAAATACTGTGGGGAACATCATTATTTAGCACAGAAGAGGGCATGCGGTTGATAAGGAAACATGAGGTGATAATAGCATCTACCCAAAAACGGAGTGGGACGTTCATATGAATGAGAAGGGTACGTGCAGTTTCAACTAGATGTCTATTTTTACGTTCAGCGACTCCATTTTGTTGTGGAGTGTGGGGACAGGTAGTCTGGTGTATCGTCCCTTGTGTATCCAGAAATTTAGAAAATTCAAGAGACACATACTCTTTTGCATTATCACTGCGCAAGATTTGAATAGAAGCACCAAATTGAGTTTTTATTTCTGCACAAAACTTTTGATAAATTGAAAATAACTCAGAACGATTTTTCATTAAATAAACCCAAGTGCAATGGGAGAAATCATCAAAAAAGGTGACAAAATATTGAAAACCCAAAACAGACGTTGTTCGACTCGGACCCCAAATATCAGAATGAACAATAGAAAAAGGAGCATCAGCTCTTTTATTGACTCTATTAGCAAAGGAGGAGCGAGTGTGTTTTCCTTGCTGACAAGAATGACAGTTTAAAGACTTAAGATTGGATAAAAAGGGAACCATATGTTGAAGCTTGGAGAGGTTTGGATGACCCAAACGGCTGTGAATTAGCTCAGGAGACTCTGTGAGAGAACAGGCTACTGGAGAAGGTGGTGCAATCAGATAGTAGAGACCTCGTGACTCAACGCCTGCTCCAATCGTCTTCCCCGTACCCGAATCCTGCATAGAAAAGGATTGTTTAGAGAAGGTAATAGTAAATGAAAGAGAATGAATCAACTGACAGAGATTTAATTAAAAGGAATGCCAGGTATATAATAAACAGAACTCAAAGTTAAAAGGGGAGTTGGGTTGGCTTCCCCAATTCCACGAGCAGAAGCCTTAGTGCCATCAGCAAGAGTGACAGGGGGTAGGTTATTAGAATAAGAAAGTGAAGTGAAGAGATCTTTATTACCACAAAGATGATGAGTAGCACCTGAGTCTATTATCCAGGGTCCAAGAGATGATTGATAAAAACAAGCAACATGATTACCAGTGTCTTGAGTAGGATGCTGAGAAGAAACCTTCTTGAGATGTGCCTCATAGTCGGCACTTGAAAGAGTTACTAATCCAGTTGAAGGTGGCGTAACATCAGTTTGAGCAAATTTGGCAGACGGTGGCTTCAAATGAGGGTACTTCCTATAGCAGCGTTCTTCAAAATGCCCAAGATTCTGGCAATAATTGCAACGAGGCCTCTGTCTGCGGCCACGTCTGCGACCGCGTCCACTGTTCCAATTGGAATCACTGGCCCGAGAAAAGAATGGAGATGGGGTAGTACCGGAGATGATGCCAGTCGTGTTTTTGGACGCATTATTTGAGCCCTCCAACACAAAATAAAAGGAGATGACCAGAAAATAGCAAAGAACTACAAGAAAGCAAGAAATCGCGCAAAAACGTTGCACAAAAGTGTCCAAACAGCGGGTTTTTCACTGATATCTTTCAAACGGATGGGACCCACAACGATAGGAGACCAGATCTGGAAAGAGGGTGAGGAGGCGGGCAAGATGGTGGTGTTCCGGCCTGGAACGGTGGCCGGACGGTGGCTCACGCGCCGGAACAGTGGTTCGGCCGCCGGAGACTTCCACCGGCGCGTGGCGGCGCATGGATGCTCCGATCAACACGCGGCTTGGACAGACAGGGTCGCCTCCCTGAGCCGCTCCTGATCGCGTGGTGGTTGGTCGTAAAAGTCGCCGGAAAAGCAGTCTGACGGCGGTGAACAGTGGCGGACGGTGGTTTTGTGGTGGTTTCCGGCGATGAACGGAGGCTTACGATCTTTTTCCTGATGATACGAGGTTGAGGACAAGAAATTTGTGACTAAATAAGGGTTAGGCGTGAAAGGATGGTTGCCGGTATGATGCACGGCAGTAAAAAGAAAGGAAAAGATATATATGCGGAAGCAGAGCCCTCAGATCGAGAGCTCTGATACCAAATTGAATCTGAAATATATTGTATATTCAAGTGTGTAAGTCTGTACAAGGAGGCTCTCTATTTATAGAGACTAAAAGACCTAATAGGATGACCTAATGGGCCAAGCCCACAATCTAGATTATTCTAGACTATTCTAATAATAATAAATTAATATTATTTCTAACAATGCTATTTATTTGGAGTAGATAAAAGTCATCTTTAAAATTGTCTAACAAGGGAAATTCTCAAATCACTCACAATTCACCATCTGTCTCTTGAAAGCTTTGTTCCCAATCTTCATTTTATTTTCATAGTTAGGAATTTAGGCTATTGTTCAATGGCTTATTATTTTCTACAATCATATAAATTCTACTCAAATTCCCCCTATTAAAAGAATTATTTATATCAATTGTTGTTTCTTTCTTCCTTTCCACCTGATTGGGGATTATTCTGAAATTTCCCTCCACCTCTATTTTCAAAGAGGATGTTATTAGACATTAAGGTACTGTTGATGATAAGTTGGGATGAAATTATCTGGGTTTCTATATTCAAATAAATATATGTTAGCACGGTGTTAATGCTTTTGATTGGACCATTTTTCGAATTGTGTGTCACTGCAGTTCTATAATGTTCTAATATATAATGAGAGCTCTGCTTAGCTCACTGGCTACCTGATTTTTGAAATTGTCTTGCGATATTTGATTCGTATGGTATTGTTACATGGTATTTCAAATATAACACAGTTCTGTTGATTACTAGCACATCAAAGACATATATCTCATTTATAATAGAAATTTTTTGAGTTTGGCATGAATACAAAGTACAAGTATATTGATTAATTCCAATCTTAAACTTTGGAAACACAAATCTGCAATTAGTTTATATAGAAATTGGAGGCAACTTTAATGAATATATTACAAAATTATTTGATATTAATTTTTTTTTTTTTAAATTTCTCTCCCCACTCAATTTGGTCCTGGATCTTTATGTGGCCTATGTATGTAAAATACAGTTTTCAGGTGACTTACTATTGCTTCCCTTTTCTTACCTGTCTTTGATTGATAATAAGTGCTCCTTTTGATAAATAAAATATACCAAATAACTCATCAACCATTTGAAGATATTTTCTTGCATCGATTAACACAGGAGATACTCTCGAGTTAGGAAATGGACAGTTGGAATATCAGGCGGTAAAGAACGGATAGCCGTCATCCGAGCCTCAGGGAGCATTAGTCGTGTTGAGAGTCAATTGAGTGTCTCTAGCTCAGGCATCATTGCAGAGAAGTTCATTGAGAAGATTCGCAGTGTTAGAGGTACACTTAGTCTTCTAAGTTTCTAATAGTATTCAACTGGAAAGTTAGAGATAAAAATGGAAAGAAAAACAAAATATTGGATTATTATTATAACGAAATAGGGATAAATCCCAAGCACAATGGATTAAAACACTCAAAACAAGATAAAACAGGGACTGACTACTCTAGAACTTCGAGGGTTTGCAACCTCCTTGTCGAGGGTTTTCAAAAGGCACCTGGTCTCTCCCAATTTCCAATTTATAACCACTTGATAGTCTCCAATCTCCTCCTCCCCTATTTATCACAATCACCCTTAATCCATGATCAATCACCCTTAATCACAAAAGCAATCACCAATAATTACAAAGTCAATCACCTATAAATTAACTACAGAATCAACCACCCATAATTACATAATCAATCACCCATAAGTCGTCCCATAAATATATAATCACCCACGATTGATACCCATAATTAATACCGAGTCCACCCATAATAAAACCCCTTCCTTTATTATGCTCACTCAGCATGGTTAAGGTTGGTGTATTCCTATCAGTTTCCCTTTTAAATATCAATGCATGAGGATGATTGAAATTGGCACATAACCAGTGGAATGTTATGAAGCTATTTACATTAATTATGGTATCTGTCAGTAATGTGTCAGATATTTTCTCTTTAGCAGAATAATATTAATCTCAGATGCCCCTAAGATAAACGGGAAGCAAAGGGATTACACTTCTTTTGTAGTTTTTACTTTAAAAAATGGCCTTAGAAGTATGGTTTCCTTCCCAAGAAAGAGGTATAAATTGACAAATGTAAGAGCAAGTAGATTATAGAAAACAAGCTACTAGAACAGAGAATATTTCATTTATTAGATCTCTGAATCTCATACAGAGGCAAATAGTGACCTAGCAAGTGGAAATAAATAAACATGACTTGCAGAACTCTTCGTTCATGTGTTCCAGGATGTTGATAACAGGGGTTAGTTCTGTTAAGTGACTAATGTATGCAACAGCGACACAGAACTTATCTATTCACTTTTAGGAATTAGGAGCACAACAGAGGCATAATCATGGTTTCAGAGTTCATCTATGTTTCTGTTTGCCAAACCTGCAACCTATGACATTGTTATTATTCATTATTTTAATTCACTCAGTATATTTGTGCCATAGCTTGTGTCCTGGTCACAACGTGTGTTCTTTTTCTCCTCAGAGTCAAAAGAATTTAAAGCTGCTATCATCAGAATTGACAGTCCTGGAGGTGATGCACTTGCTTCTGATTTGTAAGTTCCGGTAAATTTTTCCTTCAATCTTAATTATATGTTTAAAAGTATAATTTTAATTAATGAAATGTAAGAAATTGTTGATTTTCTGTGTATTGGTTTGAAATTATTGTTTGGATGCATCTAGATCTGATCTGTACCGTTGCGTAAAACTTTGTGAGTACCTGCATTGGTTATCCTTATTGAAGTATATTTTTGAGATGATACTTTTAGATTTGAAAGGAGTTAATCATATTAGTTAAATTTGAAATACATCTGTAATTGTTGTCATGGATGGAATTGTAATGCTAAGTATTTTGGTGATTTTGCACGTTTAGCTGATAATATTCTGGTATCATGAATCATAATCATTATCTGGTCTCTGGTCTGCAGAATGTGGAGAGAAATCCGGCTTTTGGCTGCTTCGAAACCAGTCATTGCTTCAATGTCTGATGTGGCTGCAAGTGGAGGGTACTACATGGCAATGGGAGCTGAGGCTATTGTTGCAGAAAGTCTTACTTTAACTGGTTCAATTGGAGTGGTCACAGGTGAACCAGGCTGTTTTACTGTTTCAGTAGGTGAAAGGAGAAGGGCATGCATATGTGATAATTTAACTGAAACCAAAAATATAGATTTATTCAAAACCTTCATGCACATGATCCAATATTTGAAACAGCTGTTCCAATCTGTATCCATGTTACATTCTAATTGGTAGTACTCAATTCTAGAATAAGGAAATGATGGCACCTATTGAATAATACTGGGTTGACATATTTCTATCTATGGTTTAACAGCAAACACAATCACACAATGTAATATTTTCTGAAATACCCCTGTATCAGGTTATAATAATCAAATAACAACCAGTGGCACTATGTTCATTACAAACAAGTAACCAGACTCCTACCTTCCATACATTGAAGAGAAATACATTGAAAAGGAATAACAGACTCACAGACTCAACAATTACTCGGACTCAATACTGCAATGGAAAATACAGACTCCAACAGTAAGCAAACTAAGAGCTATCAGACGATTATTACAGACTCTTAAACAAAGAGTAAATCACTCAATTTTCCCAGTTGCCTCTACAACGAAACCTGTTGCAGAGAACCCCTATTCCCTCTCTCCAAGATGATGAATATTTTCCTCCCGTTTTTTTTGTTTTCATTCCCATTATAACTAACTTCCCATCACGTTCTTTGGCTCCCCAATTTCCTTTTGGCCATTCAGCAGCTGCCAGCTGTCCTCTATGCTCATGTGCGTAACTAACTTCATTTCTTTGCTTGTGCTTTGAATTATCTCCTCCTCTTCTTTACTGCTGTTACTTGGGCTTGGACCCAATAGCTGAGATCCCACCGAAACCTTCTGATTCTCTATGCCTTTGCTGACTTGATCCTTATTGTCTTGTTGGGCTGAATTTGCTTTTGAATTCCTTCTTTTATAATACTGCATAAAAGGCTCTAGTGGCCCATCAATACCCCCCCTTTTAACCACCACCTTGTCCCCAAGGTGAAAAGAAGGAAAAGTTTCCTGCAATTTCTTAAGTTCCTCCCATGAATCTTCACAGCTTGGTAACTCAGCCCACTTCACCAATACTTCAACCTCCCCACTGAGTAGCCTTCAAGCAGCAATAATCTCCTGTGGCTGAACCTGCAACTCTATCATCTCTGTCATTCCTTTGGGCATTTCCAGCACTGGTATATTTGGATGGACAACTCTCTTCAATTGGGAGACATGAAAAACGGAATGCAATTTGGAATGACTTGGCAGCGACAAGTGACAACTGATATGCTACAGGACCTATTCTTTTAATCACCTCATAAGGACCATAAAACCTTGGGCCTAATTTCTGATTCACGAATTTAGCCAGAGAACGATGCTTGTAAGGTTGCATTTTCAAGAATACTCTATCTCCTACCTCAAATTCAACTTCCCTTCTCCCCTTATTCACTTGCTGTTTCATCCTTTCTTGAGCCATACACAAATTTTTCTTCATATCATCCAAAGCGGCATCCCTTGCTTCTAACCATTTATCAATGGCATCCACTGTAACCTTCCCATGCTGCATACTGAAAATAGTAGGAGGGTCTCGGCCATACAGAATTTTAAAAGGAGTCATCTGTGTGGACCTATTGTAAGACGTATTAAACCAAAATTCCGCCCACAGAATCCACTTAGCCCACCCTTGTGGGTGTCCATTGACAAAACAGCGTAGATAGGTCTCTAGAGTTCTATTTACGACTTCCGTTTGCCCATCCGTTTGAGGATGATACGCAGAACTAAACTTCAGCTGAGTACCTGCGGATTTAAACAGCTCCCCCCAAAATTTACTAACAAAAATGCGGTCCCTATCTGAAACTATTGATTGAGGGAACCTATGTAACCTTATAATTTCTTTAATAAAAAGAAAGGCAACCTGTTCTGCAGTAAAGGGGTGAACCAATGTGATAAAATGTGCATATTTGGATAAACGGTCAACTACCACCATTATGGTATCCACACCCTTGGACTTGGGCAGCCCACCAATAAAGTCCATTGAGAGGTCCTCCCAAACCTGTTATGGAATTGGCAAAGATTGCAACAGGCCCGTGGGTTGAAGACCTTGATATTTCTGTTGTTGGCATACTCCACAAGCTCTTATGTAATCTGCCACATCCCTTCGCATAACCTTCCACCAAAAAATTGCAGCCAGTCTCTTATAGGTCCGTAGTTCACCCGAATATCCACCCCAAGGAGAATCATGAAACTCGCTTAGAATGGCAGGTATTTGTATAGATGAACGGGGGATGACTAATTTATCATGGAACCACAAACTGCCTTTGGATACTTGAAACCCCGGATGAGAATTGGCATCCCTCATCACCTCAAGTAATATGGATTTTGTCTCAGGATCTGCCAGTACCTCATCTGCTATTAGGTGCAGATCTGGACTTGAAACAACTGACAACTCTCTACATTCCATTACTCTTGATAATGCATCCGCTGCTTTATTTTCACTGCCCGGTTTGTATTGCACCTCAAAATCATAGCCCAACAACTTTGCTACCCACCTTTGCTGTCCTTCAACAATTAACCGTTGCTCGGTTAAGTATTTTAGACTCTTTTGATCAGTACTCACAATAAAATGATGCCCCAAAAGATAGTGTCGCCATTTTTGTATCGCAAACACAATTGCCTTTAATTCTCGTTCATAAACTGAAAGTGTCTTGGCTGTATCCGAGAACGCTTGACTTAAGAAAGCTATAGGCCTCTTTCTTTGCATCAAAGCAGCCCCCATCCCTACACCCGAAGCATCAGTTTCGACAATAAAGACATCTGAAAAATCTGGCATAGCCAATGAAGGTAATCTGAGCATGGCATACTTTAATTCTTCAAAAGCAAGCTGGGCTGGTTCTCCCCAATGGAAATTGTCCTTTTTCAACAGCTGAGTTAATGGGCGAGCAATATGACCATAATTTTTCACAAACCGTCTATAATAACCGGTTAATCCTAAAAATCCCCGTAGCCCTTTCAAATTCTTGGGAATGGGCCTATTTTGGATAGCTTCCACCTTCTTAGGATCTGCATTCAAACCAGTACCCGAAATGATATGGCCCAGATACTCTAATTCAGATTGCATGAAGCTGCATTTTTTTCTATTGGCACAAAGGTGATTCTTATGCAAAACCTCCAACACTTGTCTTAAATGACTCACATGGGTCAACTCATCTCTACTGTAAACCAATATATCGTCGAAGAAAACTAGGACAAACTTCCGAAGGAAAGGTCTGAATATTTCATTCATCAAAGCTTGAAATGTCGAAGGAGCGTTGCGCAATCCAAACGGCATTACCAAGTATTCGTGGTGGCCCTCATGTGTCCTGAAAGCCGTTTTCTCAATATCTTCTGGTCTCATCCTGATTTGATGGTATCCTGACTTCAAATCCAACGTAGAAAATAATTTTGCCCCTTCTAACTCATCTAGCAGCTCATCTGTCACTGGTAAAGGAAACTTATTTGGCACCATGCCCTTGTTGAGTGCTCTAAAGTCCACACAAAACCTCCGGCTGCCATCTTTTTTTTTCACTAAAATTAGGGGACTTGAATAAGGGCTCACACTTGGTGTTATCCATCCAGCATCTAACATTTCCCTTACAAACTTCTCTATTTCTTCTTTCTGGTAGTGAGGATAACGATAAGGCCTAATGTTAGGAATGGCTGCCCCTTCCTTCATCAAAATTTTATGATCACAGTGTCTCACTAGTGGCACACCCGTTGGAGCTTTGAACACTTCACTGAACTCTTCTAAAATCTCGGTCACCTCTGCTGGAAGTATCCCTTCATACTGTTCCTTAGTCATCACTTGTAATTCCACATAATAACTATCAACTACCTTCTTCACAGCATTCCCCAACCCTTTGTATGATACCCGCTCCATGGACAACCGAGGGTCTCCCTTTATTTCCACCATATTTCCTTCCCATGGTATTTTAAGAATAGATTGCCGAAAGTTGGCCTGAATATCTCCAAGCCCTTCCTGCCAAGCATACCCCAGAATAACATCCACCCCCCCTAAATTAAATAGGAAAAAATCTTAGATCACTGGCATACCTGGAAGTGAGAGTAACACTCCTTTGCACATGCCTCGACTCTGCGTCTTGTGCCCATCACCCATTTCAACAGCATACATCGCAGCTTCTTCCACTTCTAGGTTCATTTCTGCTGCCACTTGCCAAGATAGGAAATTGTGTGAAGCTCCCGTGTCGATCAATACCGTGACTCTTCGACCTTGGATGTCTCCCCACAGCTTCAGAGAATGGCTTGATGTCAAACCTACAAGGCTATGCATGCTCAAACTCAGAGTTCCGTCTTCTTCGCCGCTCACCTCTTCGCACAACTCCACGGTTTCCATCTCCTCGAACGAAGTTTCTCCAGTTCCTAACAACATCACGTGCAAGGTCGCGTTCTGACACACATGGTCGAATGTGTAGGGTGCGTCGCACCTGAAACACAAGTTCCTCTGTCGTTTCTCCAGCCATTCGTCTGGTGAGAGCCTCCTAAAATTGGAGCCACAGCCACTGTAATTGGGATTAGGGTTTTCCCTTCCTCCTCCCCCACTTGTCTCGACGGATCCCCTCCTCCACTATTGGCCCCTTCTTTGTTTCCTAACCCATTCGTCCTTTGTTGGTTTACTGATGTCGAAACCTGTCGTGACCCACTAGCACTCAGCCCACCACGTCCAGCCATACTATTATTATTGGGCCTTTGTTCAGAATAATTTGAGGCCCGGTTAGTCAAAGCAGGCCTTTGATTAAACCCATGTCCATGCCCATGGTTGCTGTTGACCCCTTTCACGGACGTTCCCCTCTTCTCCTTCACCTTCTTCTTCTCTTCCACCCTTTCTTCTTCTCTTTCACCCTTTGTGCCAACGTCATCATTCTCCCCAACTCATTCAGATCATGGAGTCTGAATCCAGCTCTAATATCTTCTCTCAAGCCATTAAGAAATGCTGCTCTGATCATCTCATCATCTGCATGTCTCAAAGGTGCTGACAACAACTCAAATT